TGTGTATAAAAAAATCAATGGCTCTCTAATAGCCACAGAGCTAAAAATATTTCTCCTTAGCTGCTGGAGAGGGGCCAAGATAATAATAAAAATTAAGGTTGGCACATGAGTTAATCTAAGCATTGAACTTGGTTAAACCAATCCAGTATGTGAAGACTTCCAGCTCAGCAGTTACCGTGTATAACACTCAGTGGAGAAAATGCTTCCAACACTTCCAGAACTCTGGCTGTCCCATAATACCTGCAAAGTTCCCCAAACCCCAGAGACCTACACTTTATAACAACTCTGAATAAACACACTGGCTCCAGGGCTACTGTCCTTTCCTCACCTTGGCCATTTCTAAAGGCTGTGAGGAAAGGGCAAGGAGAAGACTAGAAGAGAAGAGGCAGCGGATGGCAATGGTGACATTTACACAGCATTTTGAGAGTCTGCTCTCTCTGTTCATGCCACCATCACATTTTGGCTGCTCTTGCACTTTTCATACTCCAGTTGATGTGACAGTCTTCTCACTGGAGTGTGAGCGCTATTTTTGAATTCTCAGGTCTCAGACAGTGCCTTATGCACCGCAGGAACATAATAAGGGTTTCTGGAAGGCTTCAGTCTTCATTCAAGCACCACCTTCTCTGAAGCCTACCCTGGCCACCCATGCAAAAATTCCATCTCCTACCCCTACTCCCCATCCCCCTGGGCCTGCCCTACTTTTTCCTTTCTCTTTCTAGCCCATATTTCTTTCTTTATGATTTTGCTTATCATTTTCTCAACCCCCCAGAATGTTCCGTGGAAAGCCTTTTTGAATATTTTATTTGCTAACATCTCCCTATACCTAGAATAAGAGCTGGCACATAATAGGCACTCAGAACATAGTAACTGAATAAAGAACTTCCATCTCCAAATCTACTAAGCATTAGCTTGTTCCTACCCTTGTGGTTTTGAATCCCTATTTATAGAAAGAGTACTTTTAATTCATTAAGTATTTATTTTGCACTGTGCTAGGCCTTGTGCTGAATGTGAAGGAAACAAACATGAAGACAAAGTCCTTTCCTTCAAAGAGCGTGGTGTTAATAGAGGAGGTGTTCATAAGCAAGGGCTGCTGTAATATAATGCAGGAAGGCCAGTGTTAGAGACAAACCAAACGTTACATATTAACAAAACACAGGAGAGGCAAATGTGCCTCAAGGATCATCTAGGACTCCTGCAGGAATCAAAGCCCTGATTAAGACTACGTGAACGTTTGCTAGAGTGTGTACATGGGGAGGGGAGGCAGCAGGTCAGAGTAGTAGCTGAGAATAAATCTCAAAGCTCAGATGCTTATGTTCAAAAAGTGATCAAACTGCTTTATGGTTGTCATTCATCCATTAAGCACATTATTTGTGCTTCTATTATATTGTGCTGATCTAGAGATTCAGCAAGAGACCAAACAGACAAGAATTTCTGTCTTCATGGAGCTTGCAATAGTGAAAGGAAACACATAATAAAACAGATAAGTGAATTATACATGAGAAGATAAGTGCTGTGGATGGAAATAGAGCAAAGAAGGAGGACGAGGAGAACCAAGGACCAAATGCACAGCACTGCTTAGGCTTTGAGAGGCCGCCTCTTTATGGATCATCCCATGATCCTCTGTTAGAAATCTTCCTGGCCAGCTTATGTCTATAAAAGACCTTTAAGAAGCAAGCAGGACAAAGGAAAGAAGCCTTCATGTATTACGGTAATTAAAACAGTAATTATACTTTCTATTAAATCCTGTGAAAGCCCTAATGTAATTATCCAACAAACAAACAAATGAAAGGACCCTCAGCAACAGGCATCAGACAAAGATGCTGTGATTAGGGTGCAGGCCCAGCGCCAGGCAGCCTGGTTTTGAATCTCAGCTCCGCCACTGTCTGACCTAGACAGTTCCTTCATGTCACAAAGCCTCCTTTCTCCCATCTGTGAAGCAGGGATAGAGACAACAGCCCTTGATGTTGATGGGATGATCCAGAAAGAACACTTAATTCAGCAAGGAGTAAACACTCAGGAGATGCTAAGAATTATTAGTGGAGCCAATGTAGATCTTTGATCTATAAATACTAAGATCCTTTATCAATGATGTCAAAGAATATGGACTCTCAGGCAAATCGCCCCATTTTGTATCAAAAGGGAGAAGAAAGGCCAATGTGGTGGTTGGAGCTAGGGAGGTTTAGGGGGATGGACTTGGGTGGAAGGAGACCTGAGGATCTAAGCACAAGACTGGTAGAACCCAATGACCCAAGACAGTCAAAGTCGGGCAGATCTGCAAGATGGGACAAAGGGACTTGCCATTGTGTCCTATGAACAAATAAGCTGGAGAAGTATCATATTTAGCCTGGACAAGAAGGTCTGGGAATAAAAAATGAGGACCAAATAGCTGCCTTCAAAAAAAAAAAATTGCGTTTTTCCTCCCTCCAGCAAAGAAAAAGCCGACTTGCTGTCTTGTTATAGAGAACAGTACTACCAGAACCAGTGGATTGAAATTCTAGGGTTTCAGGAATAAAAAACAGAATGATGATGAAAGTGATCTCCATGAGGAGTGAGGGCCCATCACTGGGGGGAACCCCAGGGAAGGCTGGAATGCCAGAGGGGAGAGGGCTACCTTAAGTAGGTGGACCATAGTTGTCTCTAAAGTCTTTTCCAACCCTGAAAGCCTGGCTTAAAACCTCAACCAAGGTGCCCAGTATGAAATGATTCAAGTCAAGTCAAAACTGATCACAAGCCAGGTGCACGCCTGTAATCCCAGCAGCTCAGGAGGCTGAGACAGGATTGCAAACTCAAAGCCAATCTCAGTGATGGTGAAGCACTAAGCAACTCAGTGAGACACTGTCTCTAAATAAAATACAAAAGGGCTGGGGATGTGGCTCAATGGTCCAATGCTCCAGAGTTCAATCCCTAGTACTGCCCTTCCCCCCCCAAAATTACTGATCAACAGAAAAGAGATAGGGCGAGCCTGTTGCTTGGGAGAAGTTTTCAGAAATAAAGCCAGGAGGTAATGATAATAGAGTCACAGTGACAGCCCCCAAACTGTTCCACAGGATCCTTACCATAATCCAGGAAGGTCACCATTATCCTAATGGTCATAGATGAGCAAAGAGGCCCAGAAACCTCAGGTCTTGCTGGCACTTTGCTAACAAGGCCAGACCTGTAATCTGAACATTGTTTTCTGACTTTCATTCCAATATTCAAGGTCATCCATAGCATGACATATCCTCACTTTACAGAGTTAACTTCCACAACTCCCTGTGCATATGTGGAGAGGACAAGTGTAGAACAATAGGGAGTAGTGGGGATTGGGGAGGGCTCGCTCTGTTGAAAAGGGAAGATACAGCTTAAATTGACCCAAGCCTGTGGAAATAGAGTGACACTAATGCCAGGTCTACAGATTTCTTAAGAGAACCAGGGGTATATATTTTAATGTAAAAATCTCCCTGATTTTTAAAGGTTAACGAGTAATGTAACTTAATGAAACAACACTGTATAGGCTAAATAAAACTCACTTATGGATCTGGCTTACTGGCAGCCATTTTGCAACTTATGCTCTAAAAGTGTTACCTTTTAGATGAAACTAATGTTCATTTTCTCAACTCACAGGGAAACATGGAAGCCCCATGCTAATGAATTTACACCTCTTCATAGTGCTTATAGTATTCAATCCTACTCGACCATAAAATGAAGAGCTAAGGAGTTTCCCACTCTTTGGGATTACGCAGTGTACCATTTCTATTAGTATCTTAGAAATGTTTTCTGAATTTTGACTTGGTAGAAAAAGACCTGAAAAGATTTGGTTCAGCTTAAATGTGAAGTCAGTAAAGGGGATTAGTCAGATTCCAAGCCCAAGTAATGGCAATAATTGCCCGAGATAATCAGGTAAGGTGGCTCAAGCAAAAGGTTCAAGGAAAGTGGATGCATTCAGGGTGTTACATTGTGCTCATTCAGAATTCAAGAGCTCCATGTAAGAAGAAAGGATATGCAGATGGAATACCACCAAGAAGCCACATATTATAAAATGTTCCTGCTCAGATCTTCTGTAACACAAATTAAAATGAGAAGAATAGAATGAATGAGAAGCACCCAACATGCTCAATGGAGAAACCTGTTTTTCAATATTTATAAACACTGATTCATATTTCCTCCAAAGAAATCTCCTAGTTGACCTGATGCAGGACCACTACCTGCTCAACTCTCCTTACTAACGGCAAATAAACAGCTGTTCTTTACAGTTTTAGAGTTTTGCCAGCATTGACCCAAAACTAGCAATTGATGACATGGATGTTAATGACCTTATGAGAGAGCTTTCTAAGAATTATCAATTTTTTGGAAGAATGGAAAGACTTGATGGAGCTTTATTTCTTCATAAAATGAGTGATGCTTGCTGCAGGAAGGGACTAAGAAATTGTGTGGATTTCAGAAAAATGACAGTTTTGTGGATGAAGCCAACATGTCATCTTTAATACAACAGAACTGCTATGTCGTTAAGGGAGCTAGATCATGAACAGGCTCCATAAAATGTAAGATATCAACCATATTTTAGAGAAGAGAGGAGAAAATTAACAGCCATTGAGTTCCTACCTATTTTAAGTATGTTTTTATTCTAGTTACAACACTCTGAAGAGTAGCATAATTATATCACTTCATAGAAGAGAAAACTGAGTCAATGATAAAAAAGAAAAAAAAAACACAAAAAACTTCCCAAGATTGCAAGACTAATAATTACCAAGGCCAGGTTCCACTCAGACTGGTCTGACTCTGAGCCCATCCCC